TCACCTTAAATGCAATTTAGACCAGACCACCTTATTATTGTTGATAAAAACATTTTGTTTAGGGAGACCTCGGTACAGGCCAACAAAAGAAAGGAGCATCATCCTCAATTTTAAGAGTTAAATATAGTATATGTTTGTTGTATGGTCAAAGGAGATAATTATCTTCCTAAATTATAGACTATAGTTTCCTAGTATATTGCCATATATATTATAGTCAAAGGAAATACCCGACTTGAATCCGAGAATGACCCGACTTGGAAATGACCCAACCTGATTATAACCCGCAAATTATTTACATGAATCGAACCCGACTTGAACCCGAGAATGACCCAACTTGAAAATGACCCGACCTGATTATAACCCGCAAATTACTGACTTGAACTGAACCTGAATCAAACTCGAGAATGACCCGACCTGATTATAACCCGCAAATTATTGACTTGAACCGAACCCGACTCAAACCCGAGAATTACCCTAACCCGTGAAAACCCGAATAAAACCTGACCTATTGTTCACCTGACCCAAATGTAACTCGACCTGTTATTAATTAACCCGACCCAAACCTAATAAGAAGTATGACCCGACGTGACCCGAGTCAAGCATGACCCAATCCAAACCCGACCTGCATAGGTTATGGAATTCATCCGAATTGACCCGGCCCAAGTTGACCCGACCCACTCTTACCCGACCAAAACTTGACCCCTTTACCAGAATTGACATTTCTACCTATAGTGGATTTGAATGTATTAAGTGCACCTATGGCTTTGTTTTTGTTTTTTGAGTTTAGCATGGTACAATTTGTTTCATAGGTGAAGATTTGTGTGAGATCGAAAAAAGAAGTTAATCCTTCGATTACAATCAGATGAATCTAACGAAAATTTTCTTCATGTCTACGACATATCGATAAACACCCTCGTTGAAGAAGATTGTAAATCATAACGATATGTAATAGGGCATGAAAAATGTACAATTTATAGCATCGATCGTAACTCTGCTGAAAGAATTTTTTATTATTTTTTTTTTCTATTGTCATGTATTTATTAGATATAAATCTCTTTGTAGAAGACATATGACTTTTTATTTATGAATCAACCTTACTAAACTGGCATTTCTTATACTCTCAGCTCTCATATAGTCATAAGCTAAGTAATCCCAAATAAGCAAGTCAATGTGTGAGAGTAGAGAAAAGAGAGTAAGGGAAACCCCCACAAATCAAATTCATTTGAGGACTATGTGTGTTCTCTTGGAATGTTATACATGATACAAAAAGTTGCATAACAACTAAGGGAACTCCTACACCCAAGCAAATGCACTTGGTGGGGCTCGAATATGTGATTTTAAAGTCATGAATTGAGTTCCGCACCAACTCCATGAAGTAATCTTGGTTTCTTATAAATGCTAGATGATTAGTTTTTGTTAGACCCTGCTATAATATTTCAATAAGATTACTATTGCCAATTAGAAAAGGTTTATTTTATTTTTTTTTATTTTTTTTATTTTTTTTAATGTAATTATTATGCGACTTTATCCGTTGAGATTAGTTATCTGAAAATGACGTTTATTAAAATATATAAATTGTAGTTTTGTTATCTCATTGGTCAGATATTAGGATAAAAAGTAGTTAATAATGTAAAAAGATATATTTTTTGTTTTCTACTTAAAATAATTTTAATTCTAAACCACTATTTGTAGTTTTTTTTACCGGGAGAGTCTACGGTACATGACATACACTGTTATGTATTATAAATGATACGTATTGCTATGTACTACTAAATTAGATATATAGATTTAAAATTAAAACTTTAATTTTTTTTTAAAGAAAAAAGTTAATTCCTCCTGCCAAAAAAAATAAAAAGTCGATTCTTTCTCCTCCCAATTTTGCTTTCCACTTTAATTATTTCATGTAGCTTGAAGCAAATTATAATGGGAAGGAATAAAATCACTCAATATCATTGATTCATTGAAGATTCAATTGAGGTAACTAATTTGATTGTTTGTCAATTTTAAATCTTCCTCACATATCTAAAACCCTAATTTGTGTTTCCAATATTGGATCAATCAATTATTAACGTTTACCTTCATTGAGTTCGTGATTAATATTTCAAACATTGAACAATCATATTTCATTTAATTATTTTTGTATCAACGAATATTAAAGAATAAATAATAGCATTGATATAAACATAAAAATATTAATTGAAATCTAATGTGGGCTTCGTGGCGTTGTAGGGGCTGCACTTAGGGACATCATATCAGTGTGGAAGTGCCCGACTAGTGGCTGCATCAAGGCTGATGTTGATGCTCATATTCCAGCTGGGAATTGGGCATGTGTTGGTGTTGTTTTCAGAGAGATGGTTTGGGTATAGAAAGTTGTGGATCGTATTTGTTTGATGTTTGTTGTTTTTCTCATGTTCAAAGAGCTTGTACCACATTAGCTCACCTAATGGCACTGTGGGATACAAATGTGAATTCCGTGTATATATGTTTGGGATTGATTATGTACTTGTCTTATACGGATTAGAAACTCTTTAGGTCAAAATCTGAAAAAATTATTGTCATCTATAATAATAGATCACTTCATCACCAAGTGTTATATGATTATCATAGCTAGGTAATTAATAATTATTCAAAAGCTTTAGGGTTTGAACGTAAGTGTTGTGTTGCCAAATCAAGTGTTTGCTCAATTGCTCTTATGTACGAGTAAGTGACATGGTTTGTGCTTAATAATTTCATATCGTGTGGACATTTAGTTTTGTACTCTTAAAATTGTGTTGTATTTTCTATTGAATAGCTTATTTATTTTGAATTTGAAAGCTTATTGACTCAAATGATAGAGCAATGTACCTTTGTACATAGATGTAGGTTCAAATCCTACATAAGCTATAATTATAACACTACATATAAATTGGATGCGGCAAAAGAAATATTATGGTGCTTTACGCATCCTTTCTAGTACTTAATGGCTCAAACTAATAGATCTCATGTTTTGTTTATCATGTCGCCTTAAAAAGAATAAATAAATTGTATAAATATTCTCTCCGTCCCATTATTAAATGCTCATTTATCATATTTTGTGAAAATTTAATCCCTCTTTGTAAGGTATATGGCACAATTAAGTCAATAATTAAGACAATTAAAACGAAAATAATGTTTAATCATATTTTGGACAATAAGAGATGGCAAAAAAGAATCTTAAAAAAAAGGCTAATTTAAGTGTTGGTATTCACATTAAATAATATGTAAAAAAAATATTTTGGAATAAATAATAAGCACTATAATTGAAAAAAAAATTAAAATTAATTTGGAAAAAGAATCGATCCTGGTACCTTCAAGTGAAACTAGGAAACACTTGACCATCTTAGCTAGATTTAAAATTTGTTTAAAAATACAAATATTAAATAGTATATTAGATAAATAGAATTAGTGGTACATAGCAGTACATTACTTTAGTGGTACATTGTGGTACATGTCATTTACTATAGAATTTTCGTTTTTTACCTAGTATTTGAGATTAAACCCTCAAATCTCATTGGTGAATTTTGCTGATGAGACGATTGAATTTTTTTATTCTAAAATAAAATGTAAATCTCTTTATTTATTGGTCGAAATAATACATTTTTAATTTTTTATATATTAGATTAGTTGATATAGCCATATATCCCTACTTTAAAAACCCTACTTTCAAAAAGTTTGAGATGACTCTTATGAATAGTGTTTGGACTATTATAATCTCTAAAATATATACCTACTTATTTTCCCTCAATAATATTAATTGTTTCTTTATTAACTCTTAATGACAGTGTACAAACATTTATACCTACCCCTAAAATTGCATGTTTACATATTTACCCTTATTATTGTTACCAACAAGCAAATCGAAAGAGTTCCCGAGACATGACTAGTTATGGTGCGCAGACGCGCATGCCTTAGCTGCTCTGGTGACTAAAAAAAGTTCATGCTCAACTGAGCTCATGTGGTAAAACTTTGACCTTAATATGTCAATTGGTCTTGTTATCAATAATTTGGAGCAGGAGTAATATAAAGTCTTGAATTCCTATGGTGTATTTAATCAATCATTCAGATCATCATCGAAAGTCACGATTTGAAGACGTATTGATGATTTGATTCAGTGAATAATTTATAATGTTATCTAAATTTAGTAAGTGGGTCATGTTAGTCATTTATGGTTAACAATGCATTGAAGACGTATATCATTGATTAAGCATCCTTCAGCAAGATTTGCATGAATAGTATACAGACTATACACTTATATTATCACAGGAAGACAACCACATGAATCATGTAACTGTATTTTTAAACAATAGTAGGTGTTAGTATAATATAATCTAAATGTGGAAAAAAAAAATAAAAGAACTTTGATTAGTGATTTAATGCGTTGGGCTTTGCAGATAGCTGTAAATTAATAATGACATCATTAAATTAATATAAGGATTATTGATTGATCTTGCGCAACAACATACAACCAATAAATTAATTAATGCGTAACGAAAAATTAAAGTTTCTTTCTCGATGAATTTTAGTTATCATATTTAATAGTTCAAATTCAAGTTTTGGTTCTAGCCAAGATAAAAGAGGTATGTACTACATAGTAGTGACTATTATATTATCAAAAATCAATAACATAGTTGCTGATCGATTTTGGGAGTAATTACGTAAATTCTCGATTTTATACGAAATATTATTCAAGAAATAAACACTATATACAACATTGTTGTAACAATTGGGTCGATCTAGTGTATTGTAAAATAATTAAAGGTGAGACGTCATGCATGGTTTTATGGATAATGGATTTATTTATTTGTTTATGGATCTTGTAAATCTTGGTAGGTCTAGAGTTGTAGAACAAATTAATAAGAAATTAGGCTATTATTGAAGACAAATTACTGTAGAAAATAATACATAATTTTATAAGCTTCATTCAAGGGGTCACCAATATAATCTTCTTTAAATAGGCATTAGGCAATATAGCCAATACAAGCAAAAACATACAACAATCTTCATTTATTTATTCTTTCACATATATTCGATCATCAAATATGGGAGTATTAGGGAAGATGGAAGTTGAACTTGATATCAAGTCATCAGGAGATGTGTTTCATGAATTGTTTGGTAACAAACCTCATCATATCTCCAACATCACTCCTCATAAAATCCATAGCTGCGACGTGCATGAGGGAGAATTTGGCAAGCCTAACTCTGTCATTTTCTGGAATTATTCCGTTGGTAATATTTAAATGCAAACTTTTTGCTTCACAATTATTTAACTATAACTCCCCACTTTATAAATACGTAGTATTTATACATGAAGTTTGTTCATCAATAATACGGAGTAGATGTTGAAATAATAACATGCAAATGGAGTACTATATATACTCCTATCATTATATCCCATATAACAGAGTAGAAGTACTAACTTTTAGGTTTTTAACCGAAAAAAGAATCAAAGGTTTATTTTATTTTTTTAAGGTAAAATGAAAGACCTTATTGAACCGTCCAACCGTCACCTCTCACGAATTTATATCTATGTTTAAAATGTGTTTGCTTTTGCGTTATTGCAGATGGGGAAAAATGTGAGGCCAAAGTGGTAGTTGAAGCTATAGATGAGAAGAGCAAGTTAGTGAGATTCAAAGTAATAGAAGGTTCAATTTTAAAAGAGTACAAAAGTTTCGTAGTAACCCTCGAGGTGGTGGACAGGGGTGCAATCACTGCTGTTAAGTGGGCTGTTGAGTTTGAGAAGTTTGAAGACTTTGGGCCTTACCCAGTTAAACTCATGGACTTCATTATTGGAATGACAAGAGATATTGAGGCCCATCACTTGAACGAATGATGATGCATGAATTTATTCCAACAAATGTGTATTTCTGTTATTTGATATTGGTGTGTTGCTATTGTGTGCATGTTATGATATACTTCTTATGCCAAAAAAAAAAAAAAAAAAAAAGATATACTTCGTATTTGCTTATCAAGTGTCAAACAAAGAAGTGAGTTTATATGTTTCATTTGGAGTGTGTAAGATATTGCATCATAACATTAATAAGAGTTGAATTGTGATTAATTGATGAATTGTACTACTGTTTGGAAGTTGGCTCTTCAACTGTTTGAATTGTGATTAATTGGTTTAGTACTCTGATCACACGTTGTTGCTTCTTCTACTTCTTCGTTGCTGTCGGAACGGAAACAAAATTTTCCCGACTCCACACTTTGTTGATGCTTATTTTTTAAGTATATTTTTTTTGGTGTTTAGAGAGCCATAAGAGCATGGGTGAATCAATCTCAAGATCTCCTAAAATCGGGAGAGAAGCTCTAAACACTTGAGCTATCACTCACTTTCTATTTTTTAAATATGTAGTATTCAACATAATGCATTAATGCACTTAGAGTTGTATTATACAGCTATAAACCTAGTAAATAAAGATGATAAACTAAGTAATACTTGCCTACTTGGTGTAGTTGTTAGGAATCTCACCTTATGACATCAAACTTATGAATTCGACTTTAAATAAATAAATAAAAAGTGATAGCCCTGATAGACTAAAGACCTCACTTAAACAGGCCCAATTTTTATGGGCTAGGTGAGTTTTTTTAATGGACTTTAGGGCCGCTCTACTAAGCATATAAATGTTGGGCCGCTCTACTAAGCATATAAATGTTGCATGCTATATCCAATCAGATTTCGAAATGCCTATATCTGGCATTTGGTCTCTTCCTGGTCCATGTAGTAATAATGATACGTAGTAATTAAGGCTACAAGCTAATTAATTGTACCTCACTAAAAAAATAAACATGACAATATGTTTGTAGTCATATACTCAATAGCAGAGAAGCTTAGTCATGCCCAATTTGTTCTCGGTAGATCCTGATTTTAAAGAACAATTATCCTTCATAAAATAGATGAATCAATACCCAATATAGCTAAACATTATATAACGAGTTAACGACAATAGATAACTTGTTTGGTTTAATAATACTTCGAATGTAATACAATTATTATACTCTTTGTACTCTATTTTATGTGTGCCTCCAATTTGTCAAAATTCTTATCAAAATTCCTTATTAGTAGCGTATATAAAAGCTAGAAATGCTAAACATTATTGAACATGCGATAAAACAAATAGGTCAACCAATAGACATTTGAATTAGCTAATAAGCATTTTTTTTTAATTTGCCTTATATTGTAGCTGATAAGCAAGTTGTTTCATCTTAATCAACCAACTAATTTCGAAATGTTGAGAGGGTTTTCTCATCAACTTTTCCAAGTATGAGACTCAAATTCAATTTAGTTACTATCTAATAGACTCCGGATTATCAGATATGATTTTAACATAAAACTTACACGTAGAGTGATGCAAAAACATTCGAAATGGGTTAGGATAAATATAAGTCCGTACTAGAAGAAAATAAATACAGTTAAAAAAACAATAAAGAAGATGAGTCATGAAAAATGAAAATGAAAAAGCAAAGAATGGTGGCAATTTGGCAAAAGCAGAGTAGGCAAAATACAAATCCCTTCCAGCATTGCAGTTGGCAGAGCAACCCCGTTAGTGCACTAGTGCAGCTTCTGCCAACATGAGAAAAGAGGAGAGAGAAAATCACAAAATTTGCCCATAATACGACAATTCCTTTTCGTACACTGCTCTCTGCTCACTCACTCACTCTACTAGTACTCTCTCTCCCACAATCAAACACACACAAACACACCATTTCTGATTTCCATTTCTCTTTCTCTCTCCTAATACGGAGTGCTCTGTTTTTCTAATTCTAAATTATGGTGGGTCTTTCTTTAATTACTCTATTTTACTTTGTTCGTTTATGGTTTTAATATTGGATTAAATGCTTATTTGTTGAATTTAATCAGGTGGGTCTTCGTTCAATTCCGACATGGTTGGATGCTCTGCTTCATGAGAAATTCTTTGAGCCATGTTTGCTTCATTCTGATTCTTCTTCTTCTGCTGCTGCTGATAAGAAATCTGAGAAAAACCTTTTCTGCTTTGATTGCTGCACTAGTCTCTGTCCTAAATGCCTCTTTCGCCACCGCAAACATGTCCTTCTTCAGGTTCTTCTTATTCATTCAAAAACACCTTTTTTTTTTCATTCAATTTCCTCTTTTTTAGAATTAAATTGTTGATTTTTAATTTTTAATTTTTTTAAATTGATTTATAGGCAAGACGATACGTTTACAATGATGTTCTTAAACTATCCGATGCTGAAAAACTCATGGATTGCTCTGGTATTCAAGTAAGTCTTTTCAATTTTCCCAGAAATAAAAACTGATTCAATTTTCCCAGAAATTATGAATCTGATTCAATCTGTTTTTTTCTGGGTTTGAATTGTATCATGATAAAAAGGGATACATAACAAACAGTGCAAAAGTGGTATTTTTAAGACAAAGGCCAAAATCTCGATTCAACAGAAGCCCAAGTTCTGGGAATTGCTGCTTCACCTGCAATCGCTCCTTACAAGAACCTTTCCTTTTCTGCTGTCTCTCTTGCAAGGTATTTCAATTTCACTTTCTTTTCTCCTGATTTTTAATTTTGATATTTTTTTTTTTTTGCCAATTATGTTAATTTTTGGTTTATTGAAATTATTGAAGGTGGAGCATATAATATCAACACAAGGGAGCTTAAGAATCAACGTATCAGACCACAAAATGTTGGGATTTCCAGACATTGACGAGTTTCAAGTAGTAACACCTGAATCAGTCCTTGACTCGTCCGGTTCAATTCCAACATCATCCGGTTCAACTTCAAGCAATGACCTTCGAGCCGCTATACTTTGCACAGCAACTACAGAAATTGTCAGGAAAAGGCGCAGTAATCTCACTGGTTTAGCTCGACCCGGTTCGAATCGCCCTAATTCTGTTGATTCAGCGTGTCGCCGATTAGCTGAACCGGCCGAACATAGTCACAATTCTATCAACCGGAGGAAAAAGGGGGTGCCTAACCGGTCTCCTCTCTGCTGAAACTGAAGTTTCTGAACACAAAAACAAAACAAAAGGAAAATTAATTGTCAAGAGGGAAATTATTGGTTAGTTTTTCAGTAAAGGGTTTTACTATTTTTAGGTAGAGGGGAGTAAATTTTTGTTACTTTCCCAATTTTGTAGATGAGGTTAAAAAGAAATATTTACTGATTTGGGGATTTAAAATGAATAGGGCAGCTAATTTGAATAGGTATAGTAATTTTCCACAAGATACTTGGATAGAAAATTAACTCAATCTTTGATTTTGGAGAGTTTTACCTTTGTTTTATCATATGGTATGGTATGTTATGGTACTATGGTAGATTGTTATTAGTGGTTGAACTATAATCTTTACTTATATTACTACTTTTGATTATTCTTGTTACTGCATTAATGTTTCTTTTTACCATATTAAATGTTGGTTTCTTTGATTTTAGAATGGTTTCTTTTTTTTTTTTTTTTTTTTTTTATTTTTTATGTCTTGATGAGTATGGGGATCAACAATTTTACTATGATTTCTTTATTTAGCTTATGAATCTTGGATTCTAGGGAGCATGCTATTTCAACCATTTTGATTTTAAGTGAAGTAATGAACATACACTTGGATTATTTTGTACCTCATTTTGGAACTATCACTTTTCTCGATATATCAACTATTATTCTCAAGACGTGATCAATACATTTTACACGGAGTAATTTATAACATTAGTCGTTTTAGCTTTTACCACTGCACAAAGTGATAAAATACTATAATGTGATATTTAACGTGAGTACTGGTGTTGTAATGACTTTTAAGAGTTTTCTTGTTACACATCACTAGGTTACATAAGACGGTTGAGTGATATTGCACTCGTATTGAATCATTCAATTATAAACTCTTGACTCTCTGATGCATGCTAATGCAACATTTTATTGGGAAAAAAAATTGCAACTTTAAAAAATAAATAACGATAGCTTTATAATTTGTGATAAGTGAAGGGTCTACACCCTTACTTCCCAAATGGACCCAGTGTCCCAGCCCAAGACCCAACAAAACAGAAAAGTAAAAAAAAAAAAAGAAAAAATGATTGATACTAGTCGTACTAAATAGCTGGGTGTGGCCAGTAATCAGTACTTGAGTAGGGACTGGACAGAAAAAAAAAGGCCCAAGACCCCAAATTGTGGGCCTAGTTGGATCACAGCATCTATAAGTGGGGCCTTTATAAGCCTCTTACCAAAAAGCAGATTTATACGTGAACTGGTTTTGAATTAATAATGTTTTCAGAATTTGGTTTGTTTTACTGCCTTCATTTTCTCCATTACAAATAACATTAAAGCACAATGCACATAGCCACATATGCTAACAAACTCGGCTATTGCAGAAAAATGCAAAAGACAACAAATTTTATTATCTATGCAAGTATGGAAAAATTATATTCATGCTGGTACCGTGGTACGTACTAAGTATATGTTTTGATGCCAATGCTGATTATTTTTTCTTTTAGGAAGACATGTATGACATAAACCATCTTGAGGCAATAATTCTGTACCAAAGTTTGAATCAAAGTGCCGAAGAGGCAATCACAGTACTGCTTTCGACAGGAAAGTATTGCTTAAAATCTTCATAGGCTTGTGATTTCCAGTCTTCATCGTCCCATTCATCACGGTACGTCTCTGGTTTAGCTCTCCTGCGGAGGCTAGCTGCACGATACATTCCCTTTCTCCATTCCTCGATAAGAGGGCTAGCAGTCTCCGTAGCAAGCCAATCATCATAATCAAACTGCCAGGATTTTAGTCAGTCAGATATGCAGTATCTTCTAGGGATGAGGTATTTAGAAATTCCAAATCAAAATCAAGTAAATGTCCAGGTTGGCTGTTGACTAGTATCTGAATGGATCATGAAGATGAATGAAGGAGGAAAGGGCGACGACAACCAAGGAAAGAGGAGTTTGAAACATACAAGCACAGGGGACAATATCTATTGAGCTTAAAGACATGCAAAAGAGACTTCTGCAAGCCTCGATTTCCATTAGCTGACTTCAAATTAAATACTATGTAAACAAAAGAGAAATTCACAAGATGATCAATAGTTTGCAAACACAGTAGCATAGCACTATATTTTTAGAGCGTCTGCGACTATGAGCAAGCATTCATAAGTTATGGAAATGCAAAATTTACCTGATGATCACCAATGTTATGAGTATAATGCTTTGGAACTCCTGCAGCATCCAATTTTGAGTAGTAAGATTCTATATCTTCCATCATCTTCTCTTCTGACGGGAGGGATATCCGACCTGATAAAGCACCTGCTATCCACCTACTTTGAAGTTCACAGAGAATAAAAGGGACAACCTGTCGCCAATATTCAGAAATTCTTACTTAATTGGTCCAACCATCTGGCGATGAGACCATGATCTCCCAAGAGACACAAGTCCACAACAAAAAACAATACCAGGAGAAATTCTTACCTTCCATGGGAGGCCAACAAAAGAGATCCCTGGGGCTAATGCAGGTGGAAATACATGCTTGTACAGTGGCCCCACGCGATTATCATCGACATTTACGGCACCAATGTTATGAAGAAAAGGGAAATGATACTTGTAGCTGAAAGAATGTTGCAGATAAATTACTATATAGTGATATTCTGCTTGTTGCTTAATTTTATTTTATTTTTTTGTACAAAAAAACATACAAGTAATAAGAGAATCTAGAGAGTTTCAAAATACCCCGTGCAGTGGAGAATGACTTGTGCAAGCACCACACTTCCATCTTGAAATGTGACTCTACCATCTTCATGGGCTCTTTCTATCTGCATAATTGTTTCTGTTAGAATGGCAAGCTATCAGCTAATCCCCTTCAGAAGGGACAAACAATGCCATCGACATACTTTCCAATGATGGCCATCTATATCTTACCCTAGGTAAGTGCTTTTACCATTGGATGGAGCCACAAGTTATCATAACCAGGCTGCTTTCCGAAACTTCCTTCTGGTTTTGATCTAGATACTACATGGACTTCTTTGGCAAATTTAGCAAGGTCCCTGCATATATCGACAGCACTTGCAGAACTCCCTATCAGGACTATAACCTGGTAAAAGCAGAAATACATTGCCAAAATCAGAACTATTAGCAAAGCAAGTTACTCCAACAAAGGGGGAAAAGGAGGGGCCCAATATGCTTTTCTTTCTTCCTACTGATACAAAAGCTCACTACGCTTTGATCACAATAGCAAGGAACACTGGCTTTCCCAATCAGGATTCAGGAAGCCAAGTTCTGACAGCATGTAAATCAGCTCAACAACCTCTCTATGGTCTGTGGAAGAACGTACATCAGGACATCAGGTGAGCTTAAATTACAAGTATAAAGCATGACAGAGTTCATTGCAAAGAATGCTGCAAGGCATTTTATTGAATAACAAAAAAGACTTCATATGCATAAACGCTATCACCCCATAGATTTGAAGGTACAAAGAGAACACAACCAAAGAAAATAGAAAACAAGGCACATACTTGGTCCCGATAGGGCTCAGGAAGACGATAATTGTGGCTATGTATTTGCTTCCCTGGCCAATGCTCAATGCCTGCAAATTATAACATATGAAAATATACAATGAGAAAACTATCAAGATCTTTAATATAAAAAGGGAGCCAACAATAGCAGTTAATAAAGTACCTGGAATTTCAGCAACCCGTGGTTCAGTATAATGTCCATTACAAACAACCACAGCATCATAAGTTTCATCAAATTCACTACCATCATTTCCAACTTGCATCCTAGATTTCACCTTCCAAATACCTTCGGTCTCCAAACCAACATGACACACCTCTGTCTGATAACGAACCAACTCGTGTAACCTAAACTCATTAGCAAAGTCCTCTAAATATCTCAACACCTCCTGATGACCTGGAAACCTCCGTGAATCTCTGTCCGCCTTTCCTGCAAGAAGACCAGCATAAACCATCAACAATATGTCTAGATAGACAATTCCCCAAGTCTAGTAATTATTGATACACTCTCCGTATATCTTAAAGCCTATTTTTCCATCATATAATACACTCCTATTAAGATGTATATTTTGCGCAAAGTTCATTCAATCACCAATTCACTTTAAAAGTATTGTATGGACATTGGTATTCATCAATCTCATAAATTTTCCTAGGGTTCATATATCAAAGATTTCACTTTACAAGATGTACTGAGTGCGAGCATTTTGCAGCTGAGTGCGTCATTAAACTGGATAAAACAATGCCCCAATTCGAAAAACTTAACCTAATCAGTAATTACCAATTCAATCAAACAAAACATAGCATTTGAATAAACACTGTTGAAATAATCAAATTCTAGCATTTGAATCATTATTCATTAAATTAGAGAGAAAGAGAGTTACATACCAGAAGCAACAAAGGGAAAATCACGAAAACCCATAACTTCTCTGGGAAGATTGGTGCGGAGAGAACTGTAGAGGCTAGAATGAACGATTTTCCGAGTAGGGTCGAGACCAAGTGGGTCAGACTCAACCTCCGGCGAGTAGACCCAGGTTCCACCCAGTTGGGGCCCACGCTCGAACACGACCACCTTATGACCTTCTCTTCGAAGCTCCCGCGCCGCCACTAAGCCGGCTGCGCCGCCGCCAACTACGGCGACTTTCTTGGGCGTCAGCTGGATTGGCGTCATTGGGATCGTAGAGCCTTGATGAAATGATACTGTGTTTAATTTTAGCATCGTAATCAAGAGGAGTACAAGGATAAAATACCTTTAATTTGTGGTTGTCATTTGTCATTTGTCAATTGTCATATTATTAAATTTCTCTCAAAATAAATTAGTCCAACACGAAATTTGTTTGTACGCTAAAATATTTTGGATAGAATACTATTTTGTTCTGGAGTACCAAAAGTAATAGCATTAGATTTTTGTTTACTAATCTTATAAATTACTGATTTATTAAAATTAAAACTAACATAAAGTCATAAATCAATGACAACTCTTATTTTAGAATTTGTTGTTAAGTAACTTATCATCCTTAATTTTCTATTCATCATAGTTTTTTTTGGTGTTTAGAGAGCCACAAGGGTGGGGTGATAATCGAACCTAGAATCAACTGAAATTGGGAAAAAAACTCTAACCACTTGAGTTATCCCCCACTCGCTTCTATTCGTAGTAGTATTTGCTTCTTTTGTTTATTTTGACGTATATTTTTAACCACATTTTTCGAGTTACAAATTATGAGTAACAAAAATTAAAATAAATATTAAGTAAACTAATAGATGTAACCCTAAGAATAAATTACACCGATTTTAAAAAATGTATTTATGCTTGTATATAGTTTTGAAAGGATTGCATATTACGGAGCGAGTAATAAAATATAAGTATTAAACATAAATTACATATTGAATAGGTAACACCTATTAATTCCATTTCAGTTTATGTATATACTCAGTATATATGATTGGAGTAATACTTCCATAGTTTATGTAAATGAAATAATGGCACTAGCAATCTAGCATAATTTGATGATAGCCGTGATAGGTGCTACATAAGCATGATTAGGGACCAAAAGTCCAAGTAATTATGTATCTACGATCTATGGAGTATTATATAAAATCCCCAATTCCCTAAGATTAACTGGTGTCCACATTCTTACACTATTCTCAAAAGTCCTGAATAATGGAATGAACTAAAATACTCTGCTTAGCTTAAAATGGAGTAGTATATTTGATTAATTGGCAGTAATCTATTTTGGAGTTTGAACTTTATTTAGACAACCCCATGTACTACGAGATTACAAGTAGCTTCTTGATTAACCCAAAACCTAGGGAGTAGGGACTATTTATCCGGAAAACAAGCTCCTTCAGAAATGTGATACTAGTACAGTATATTGTTGATTATTTGAAGGTTAATATATACTTCTGCTTCTATATACCTTTTCCATTCACTTTTACTTGCAAGGATTTGTAACAGTTTAATTAAATTGTGAGAGACTGAGAGTTAGTCAACTCGTGCAATTATAAGTATAAAGTAGAATCATATGGTAAATGTTTATATACCAAGTAAGCAAGCTAGCTCTAAATGGCTATGTAACACTTCATTCTTCCTTTTTTTTTAACTTACTACTACATTATGACACACATAAGCTAAGCGCATTATTGTTGAG